CCCCCCCGGAGGGATGGCCACGCCGCAATCCCTTCTCCTCCATTCTATTTTCGGGATCTTGGGCACGCACGCACACGCGCCCAGCGTGTGTTTAATCTGCCGGGTCCGGGACTTGAACCGGTCGACTACGTAGGAGTCCAGCGACATAGCCATTATGCCAACTGCTGGTCCCAGTATAGTAATGTTTTATAGAAACTGTTAGATTGGGAGTCAGTGTTTCTCTGCAAAAACACGCCCTGACTTTCCCAACGACCCGATAAGTCGAGATATTTCCTAAGTGAGGTTTTATCCAGGGGGTATAGCCAAGCCACAATCCCTTTTCCTACATTCTCCTCTCAGGCTTTTGGACATGAATGCACATGCAAACGCACTAAGCATGATTTTCAAGTGGCTGGGTTCAGGACTCCCACTGTACAGCTGGCCACGGGGGATCCAGCGCCTTAACCTCCATGCCACCTGCTGGCCCAGTGTCTGAGGTTTTTCTTTTGGAGAGGTTTTTGCTATAGGGCACGTGCGCTCACCAGAAAGACAGAGACAGAAAGCAAGAAATCACCCCTGGGGGGATGGCCACGCTGTAATCCCTTCTCCTCCATTCTCCTCTTGGGATCTTGGGCACGCATGCACATGCACCCAGCGTGAGTTTAAGCCACCTGGTCCAGGACTCGAACCGCGGTCACCTACATGGGAGTCCAGCGACATAGCCATTACGCTAATTGCTGGTCCCCCAGTGTCTGAGGTTTTAAGGAGAGAGGAAGGAAGAGCACAGAGCGCTGTTCTAACAGTACTACTGTTAGGATGGGTTTCCTGAAGTTGTGCATTTATTTATTCGAAGGACGTTAACTCATCTCTCGTGGGCAAGGTCTGTTGTAGAGTCAGGACCACCTAAGTGACACAGAAGGTTAGAAATGCCAGCATCCACCTCTCCCCAGCAGGAGGGACTGAGGCTGTGGTGAAGGTAGTGAAATCCCAGTAAGCTTTGGGAGATCTAATGACTTATTTTTATTTTGCCTTTTCTCTTGCTACGTTATGACGGGGCCAGGGCTTTAGTAAGCTGCGTTTCAGCGAAGGGCCCAGCTCCCCCTTTTCTGACAGTACTGTGGACGAGAGGAGGACGGTGCTGGAGGAAACTGGTCATGCAGGAATTCTGGGAAATACTGCCCAGCATTCGAGGTTGCCCGCAGGCTGTTTGGGGGCTGTGTCTGAACCAGCCCCATGGAGAGCCAGGGAGCTGTGTTGGGACAGTGCTCTGTTGGAGCCCCCCACATCTTTATTATTTATTTTTTTGTTTTAAGTTTTTTCTTTTTTTTTTTTTTTTTTTGAGAGATTTTCACTGTAGGGCGCGTGCAGTCGCCAGACAGAGAGAGACGTAGAGACAGAAAGCGAGAAATCACCCCC